TCTATGATGGGTGGTTTATTTCATCCAATTACTGTGAAACCAACTTTTACTTTCCTTTCTAAAATCATGCAAGGGACTGAACCCTAATATGTTAACATGTTGCAAGACACCATTTATCTTTCCCCAGAAATGTAACTCATCATCTTCCTTGATTACCACATTTTTGGATTTTTCTTCTGGACAGGACTCATTCACAGACAAGATTTTTCATGTACATTTATACCCTATACAAGGGAGCAAGGGGTGCTGTTTTCCTCACCCTCACAATGTGAGACAGGCAATGCTGAAGGAGAGTAACTGGCCCAGGGTCACCTGATGAATAGCTTCGTGACTCTGTGGAGTCTTGAACCTGGATCTCCCAAATCCTGCTCCAGAAACTGATCACTCCACTGACTTCACCCTTGTTGGCCTATATGGGGAAAGATAGATGTGGTATGTTAAAGACCAACAAATTGGGCTTCAGTCCTTTGCATGCTTGTCTGGTAGGAAAGCACCTTATGATGCTCTTATGTTATGCTATCTGAAGCTTTCATTGGTAGGCTTTGCTCCAGAGGAGCTCCTGAGGTGGTAAATATACAGTGTTCCTTTCTGAAGCAGCAGGAAGTGTTTGTTATTTTTGTTGTCCGGAGTACATTCAGATTTAGCTGAAAATTCAAGGCGTATGCCACTTTGCCTTATTATCTGCGATACTCATAAACTTTACTGCAACTTGATTGTAAGAAGGTAATGACTAATGTACTATTAATCCTGGGTGGATGAAGAGACATTTCTAATATTTATAACCTGTCTAGCAGGCAGACGGTAGATGGATCACTGTAGCTATTTGCTTAGTGAGTGCATATTAAGCTCCGAAAAAATGCCAAATTGGATGAAAGGGCTTTAGTGGCTGAGAAATTCTGGATAGGAACAGCAAGCTATTCTAGCTGATTTGAAATGTGATTTCAATAACACATACTGAAAAGGTGAGTCTAGTTTTGATCATAAATATTGCTAGATCTATTTAAACTACACTGTGGAACTGTACACATTTTATTCCCCTCTACAGTATGTGTGGCATAGTTTGGGAAGTTAGTTGTAGAAATGCACGGTCACCAAAAACATGAACTAAGTATTACCAAAGAGAGATTAATTTATGTAGATTACTGTTAATGTTCTTCAGTTAGTAAAACATTTACTATACACAGGAGGCAGGGCTGGCCTAATCTTTGCTGTCCTACAAGCAGGGAAAGACCTTTCTCTTCAGGCAGGCTTTCCCTTAGTTATTGGCTGCCTGAGTGCGGTTTTTTTAAAAATTGGTTGTTGTGCCTTGCTGCTTTGAATATGTTTTGTATTGATTTTGTTTACAGTTTTTTAGTGTGGTATTTGTTTGATCCTTTTAAAATATTTGCATATTTACTGTTTCTAGCTTGTAGATACTGTCTTTGCCACCTTGGGTCCTCTTTAAGGAGAAAGATGGGATATAAACAAACAAACATCAGACTCCTACTGACAGGAATTCAATTACAGCATCTACAGTAGTCCAACTTAATTGATTTCGTTTGCTCCTGACCCCAAATCAAAATGTTCTGCACAACTGGGATGCTGTCTCTGATATGAGACTTCCTGAATGTTTTGATCACTGGCCGGGTTGTACTCTATGGTTTCCTACCCTTGAAGATGTGGTGGGAGGGACATAGCCTTCATGGTGGTGGCCCCCACTTTGTGCAATTCAGCATTCTGGAAACCAATTTATTTCTTCTCCACCTTCTAGAAGCAGGTCAAAAGCATGGACCAGAACACATGAAATACTGTAGTTAAAATGTTTAATGGTAGAAGAGGATATGCATTCTCTTTAATATCAGTTTGATTCTCAGAGTTTCAGTCTGATGGACTGGAGCACCTGGGAAAGGGCTTCTGAGAAAACTTAGGGTCCAACCAAGTACATATGGATGCAGAAAATATTTCAGGTAACTAATTATTAAACAATTCCTGGACTTTAAAAGTCAGATACAAGTGGTGTTGAAAACAATTAGCTTTGGACTGATGCTTCCCACACCCTGACACCTTGGCTGCTTTCCCTATTAATGAAATCATTTACAAACACTCATGACTTCTATTCTTTGGGGGAAATTAGTGTGACAGCATTAGGATAATTTTACGCATTTAGTAGCCCCCTTTTCAGGGGATGTTTGCTACTTTTCAGGAGGGATTTTTCTATGAGAAGGAAACATGTTGGAAGATGAGGACACTTTTCAAAGAGACCTGTGTCCTTTCTTGCAATTTTGTAGGCAACAGGACCACCTGCTGCTGGTCATACCCATTTGGTTGGAATATCTGGCAAGAATTGCTCTATATCTGGTGTTTGTGGCTGTGTGCACCCTGTGAAGCTATGCTGTCATTCTGTGCACCTGCAGTCCTATAGTATGCACAAGCCTTTATTTTTAAAAACACTTCATTTCCCTAATTTTCAGGGCCTATGCTCCAACCCTTTCGGGAAGACAAGGGTTGGGGTCCAGCTCTTGATTTATTTCCGAACTGATTCATTACCTCATTTTATTGCACGGTGAAATTTTGCAAGTTGTTGCAGGAATATGAATGCAGTTGTTGTTCTTATGTGCCATCAAGTGGCCTCCGACTTAATGGCGACCCTATGAATGAGTGATCTCAAAAATGTCCTGTCCTCAACAGCCCTGATCTGCTCTTGTAGATCCAAGTCTGTGCTTTTCCTTTGACTGAAGAGCAGGATATAAACAGACAAATAAATCTGGGCGTTTGGTTTCATTTTGCTTTTGAACAGTGCTCTGGAGCATATGCTTTTGTCAAAATCATTTCTGTTTTCTAATTTGCATTCTAATCTTTCTAAGTGTTTGTAATTCGAGCTTTGTGCCATCTGCGAGCTTGAACTCATTACTGCATTTCAATTCAAAATAGGGAAACAGCATGAGATCTTAGGAAGAGCTGTGGGGTTCAGTGGAACATTAGGCCAAACCAAACCATTTTGCTGCCTGAGAGGGAGCAGCCCACTTCCACCAACCGGAGGGTTAAGTTGCATCATACCCCACGTGAATCTGGCAAATACTGTAAGGCTGAAAACCTTACAAGTATCTCTCCATGGATAGTAAAACTACACTTGATTTAATCAGAATTTGTGGCTCTTTCACATCACTCCAAATCTGGTGCTCAAGGAAGTTCCTTCACCCTGCTCAACGATAGAACTGGCCTTGGGAAATACTGTTCTGTCCGATTAATTCTTTGGGGCCAAAGCCTTCCTAGCAAATGACAGGAAACATGGAGCTTGGAACCGTGAACAGGTACTGAACTGCTGCATGTTTTCAAACTATTCTTAAGTACGGCGAGGTACAGAAATTTCCCACTGGAGCTCCCAAATAATCAAGACGTGGTGTTCTTTCTCCCCTCCCAGCCAATGTGTACTGTAAATAAATTGGCACAAATGCATGTTAAATGGAAACAAACAATAGGAGCATTGTGTTTTTAGTGGGGTTGATGAGTTGAGCACCTGCCATTTGCATCCATGCCATTGTGTTCAGTAACCTTCAGAACAATACAGGTGCTTCTCCTGGAGGTGATATATTAAGATTATGCTAGACCTGGCACAGATATGACAGATCCATAGCAGGCATAAGAGGCAAAACTAGGCTTGCCAAATGAGGGGTGGTGGTTTACAGTTAATTTTTGCGTGCACACATGATTCAATCTGAAGTCATCCTTCTTGCCCCAAAAAATAAAAAATGGAATTGGCTGATAGATGGGTGCATGTACATGGGACTCTGTGCTGGTTAACGTCTGGCTGCTGGTGGACCCTGGTGCCTAACACCTTCTTTACACTTGCCTTATAGCAGTGCTTCCCAATCACGGGTCCCCAGATATCCTTGGATAACAACTCCCGAAAATCCTGGCCAGCACAACTAGTGGTGATAGTCTCTGGAAATTTTAGTCCCCACACAGCTGGGGACCCAAGGCTGGGAACCACTGCCCTATAGCGAGAAACCTGCTGTCCAATGCAACGTCTCTGTCAGGCGAGTGCGGCTGCCTGAGGGGAGAGGGAGGGAAGGAGAGACCCAACCAACCCCCGGAGCCAAACCACCTGCTCCTCCGCTTGCTAGGCATCGCTTGAACGCACGGCAGGCCAGAGGGAGGGAGCGGGTGTTCGGCTGGCTGTGGCGCTCGCCCTGACGGCGGGGGAACAGCAACAGCTTGCCAGACTCACCACCGTGCAGTGGCGGCGGCGGCGACGAGAGTTGTCTATTGGCCTCGCGCCCCTGGCCTCCTTCCCCCCTGCTCTATTTAGCCCTAGACTGCCTGGTCGCCATTAGAGACACCTCAAGCCCGGCGCCTCCTTCCCCCTTTTTTTCCCCCCTCGCGCCCTCTCCACGCCTCGCCGGTCGGGCCAGCGCTTGCTCTCTCGGCCCACCTTGGTGGCCCCGGCCAGGCACGCTGGCCACGCGAGCGCGCACCCTCCCACAAGACCCACAGACACAGCGAGTCGCCGCTCTTACGCCCCCGCGGTGCCGAGGTGTGGGTGTGCGTGTGTCTTCCTTCCTTTCTCCTCCTCCTCCTCCCCCCCTCCCCGCCCGGTTCGCCGGGAACCCAAACACGGAGGCGCTCGCCCCCTGAGGAAACACCGAGCTGGGAACCAAAGGCTGCTTGGGGACCGGCGCCGGAGACCGTGGGGAGGGAGGGAGGGAGGGAACCGAGGGTGTCTGGGGTGGAGGTGGCGTGGCTGGGGAAAGCCGCCCTTTCCCCCCTCCTCCTCCTCCTCCTCCCTCTCCCGCTGCCCTCTCCGAGCATCTTGTGCCAACAGGAACGGCTGGCTGGAGGTTGCTGCCGCTCCCGCTCGGCTTTTGCCCGCCGGAATCCTCCAGCGGTGGCGGCGGCGCGGCTGATGTAAGGCCCTGGCGGGAGCGGAGGGAAAACCAGGAGGGGAGGTGAGGAAGGAGCGGGCAAGAGAGAGAGAGAGAGAGAGAGAGAGGGAGGCGGGGAGAGGGATGCGGCGCTCCTGCGAGCAGAGGGGCTGGCTTTCCTGGGGAGCGTCGCCAGCCGGCCACTCAACCACACACACACAAGCGCGCGCGCGCACACACACAGACACACACACACACACACAAACACGCGAGCGCGCACCCACCCGACCTCTGGAGCTGGCGAAGGCAGGCGAGGGCTGGTGGCTGGCCGGCCGACCGGCTGGCAGGTAGGGAGATTGGGGGACCGCGGCCGAGCGGTGGCCATGGCCGGATGCCGGCGGCGGGAGGGGGGCGGGCTGCCTTTACCTGGCTTCCTCCGGCGGGGTCCCTTGGGGACGCTGGCGCGGCTCCCCGGGAGGGGGGGGTCTGGAGACACCCTCCTCTTGGCCGTGCCTCACTTTTTCTTACGTTTTGGCTGCGGTCTCTCTCGCCATCAGCCGGCGTGTTTACTCGAGAGTCGATCCTACCGGAGTGTTTCTCCCCGCGGAAGAGCGCATCCTGTTGTTCGGCGCGCTGCGCGGGCTGATGGGTGTGTGTGTGTGTGTGTGGTGACAGCTCTTCCGTTAAGCTTCACCTTGGCTTTGTTTCCAGCTACATACGGCGCCCCTCCGAACAAAAGCAAAATAAGCGTCGGAGGTACCCGGGGCACGTCTCCTCCTATTTATGCTCCTAGCTTGCATTTTGGCCTTCCTGTCCCCTCGCTTTCTCGCTCGTCATGGTTTATTATTATTATTATCATTATTATCATTATTATCATTATTATCATTATTATTATTATTATTATTATTATTATTATTA